CCTTCCTTGGAGATGGAAACAAACGTTGTCACGATAATAGCTGATTACCTATGTTTCGAGTCTTTTTAAGGTTGCCTTCTAATCGAGTTTGTCTTCTAAACAACAAGTTGTTTCCTGAGAGTGGAAAAGCTTAAACCATCCTGAGCTCATCGAAATTTATCTTCTCTTACTTGAGTTGATTCACGAACTTTTTTCGTACAATATTTTTCATTCTTGCTCGATTTTGTAGTAGTTTTTGTTGAAATTTACTACGTGTAATATTTTGATCACGCTGACTCAATATCACGTGTTAGTTTTTCTTGCTGTTTGCAGAATTGTTTAACCAAAATACATATGACGAATTCTCGATTTCTACATGATCCATTTTAGAATAAATAGTTGATATCACTTCTCTCGCTAATTAAATGTGACATTTCTAAAACATAATATGTTTTCTCTCAAAGAGTAAAGAAAGAAACTAATAGTTCTTCATGTCATGTACTTATTATCTACAACTACTACTAATGTTGTACAAATAACGACGAGTTTAATATAACATATAGTTTATTGGCATGATCCACCTGGTTCAGAGAAAGACAGATTATGATATAACTGAATATTTGTCAAACAAAATAAGTTTGATACATACTCAGCTTCAACGTCAATTCTCAGGTTCTTTACGTATTTTAATTGTTGCTTTTTTCGTTTTTTTGTATTTTATATCTCTATCCATTTTCTAGCAATTGAGATAACACAAATACTTGTTATAACATATTGTTTGTTTTTTAATACGACATATTTTTAATTCCCAAATAAAATCACTTTTCGATAATATATTACTTCTTTCTAACGTTTTTTTATTCGTACGTTCTTTATATTAACATTTTATTTTAGACGATCTAAACTCTATTATAATAATTCAGTTTGACGATATAAATTAGAATAATCTGTTGATATAAGCGTTATTCTTTCAGAATACAAGCGGAAAACTATTCCATTATGGTATTCTAAATTAAAACTATCGAAAAACACAAAAACACACGCACATATATATTGTTGAATTGAATACTTGATTGTTGATTAAGAAAATTTTTATTGAAAAGTGAATAGACAAGAGTAAACACAAAAACGATGCGTTTCGGCTAGGAACCTTCTTTAGAGATGAACGAAAAGAGAAAACAGATAGTATATATATAAGTGACCGTATCATCAATATAAATAATATAAGAAAGATAAGGAAAATATGGAACTATTTCTACTTCTTCGTATGAACAAAAGATGAAAAGTGAAATATGAACATAGATGAATGAAAAGTGGAAAACAAAAATTGAAAATAAAAGGTGAAAAATAAAAGAAAAGGACTTTTTTCTTGTTTTTCAAATAGAAAGTTCGGAAGAGCGAAATTTCTTGAATAAGATAGTCCACGGATAAAGATGATTATGTAGGTGAATATGTGAAAAGAAAACCTTTACTTTAGGATGAAGGACATGCCAGCTTATGTTTGACAAAATTGTCCTTTAGAATTAATTCTTCTGGCTGGCTGAAAAAAGGAGTGTCAAGAACAAATTAGCGATTGAGAACGATTGGAATAACGATAACGTAAAATCTTGGTGATGGTATTGATGGGATCATGATTACGAGCGATTAAATGACTAAAAAGCAGAACATGTTGTTGCCAGCGGGTGGTTGTGGTTAAACAGATACGTGTGATACGATGGGCTAATGCCGAAGGAATGTTTTGATGATATGTTGAGGATGCAATGAGTTGTAGTTGAGATATTGAAATGTATTTGTAGGTTTTATGTATAAATTTGTTTCCAGACAATTGAGAAAATGGTTGATGTATATTTTAATTTCATTCAATCATTTTCTAATTTATCTTTATCATTTTGTTAATAATATTAATTCATCTTGTTTGTACAGTCAAACTATATCGACGTACAAATATCTAGTTTTATTTTTGTAAAACAATTCTGTTTTGTGTTTGTCTAATGAAAAAATTTGACTTTTTTTTCTATACCAATTTATTACATGTTTTGATTGAATCTCTCTAACTTTTATCATTTTCAACTATTTTCAATTGCCTAATATAAATTTTCTACTGGTAGTAAGAGAGAAAGTTATAAAAGATTTTTTTATTTAATTCTTGTTCTTTAATTAGTTTAGTAATTTCATATTTGCATTTATCGTATCGAGATATTTTAATTATAATCTTTAAATATAAACAAAAAATGCAATGAAATTAGATGGTATGTTGATCGGTCGACTAGATATTGTTCAAAGGTTACTGTACAATAAGAACACAGAAGAATGACTGATAAGATAATTACAATAGTTTAAAAAGTTCTCTAAATTTACACACTTTACAGTTTCAGCCATTGTCGCATGAGTGTTATTCCATCTTCCAACATCAATAAAATCAATATTTTAATTTTATATCAATTGATTTTTCCAGATCTCATGTTTCTATCTGAAGGCGTGCTTCTGTTAACGTAAAATATTTTTTGTTTTTTTCACTAGAAAACTATAGGACACGATGTGATTGTCGTCGAATGACGAAAAGGAAAAGATTATACCTTGAAAAAAAAGCAGAAAATATTTGAATAATTCAGAAATTTGAGCAAAAAGATTCCGCAGAATAAAAAATTAATTAATATTCTTTAAAACACTTATGCTGATTTATTGAAATAGTTGAGAGTTCATTCTCATGGCGCATTATAATAGGTGTAAGAAAGAACTGAAGTTTCAATGAGAAAATATATACACCTATTTTGTGAATTTGATATTTATCCACGACTATTTGTTCATTGTAGGATCAACAAATATATCCTAGATAACTTTTGTGTGGTTTATTCTTCATCGTTTTGTATATGTTTGTTTCACTCATTCGCAAATCGTTTTCTGATTTCATTTTTGTTACTTCTTCATCAATTTTTCCTGTTGTTTCTTGCATTGTGCAATATTATTGCTTCCATGTCACCGGATCGGAAAATTTTAAAAGCTTGTTCGGTAAAAATCGACTGCAGATTCGTCTAAAAAAGAAAGTTTTTCTTTCATATTGTTTCAAGAAGCGAAACAAGACATAGAAAAATTCACTTCAATAATCTTATTTCGTACGCTTTAACCCTTTACGACCGACTGTCGCCCCAAGAGGACATTACCATATATGATAATAATTTCTATAAAAAAGGAACGAAGCATCAAATCAAAAACTGGATTTTTTTCTAATGTCAGCCGACAGCATAAGCTAGCAGTTGCTAATAAAAAAATTTGTTTTCATCAAGTCTAAACAAAGGTGTTACGGAGTACCAGCTTGATTCGCACGATCAGCTGTCGATGGTAAGTTAGTTAAGTTTATCCATGAAAAGTGGGAGCCATAAAAGGTTCCCGATCTATAATAACAATGACTCAAGCCAACACACATTTTTTTTCCACACAGACCACTTTTTTTCAATCCCTCCTGCTATTATAACCTTTCTAATGTGAACACACGTGCAATGTTTCTCTCTCTGCTGTTTATCATCTGTTCCTTTTATACTAATACTAACTATGCTTTATGTACTAAAACTGGCTACTGTATGTATGAAAAAAAGTTAATGCATTAGAATGAAAAATTAACTGATGTTTATATTGGTTCATAAACAAAAAGACAAACAATATTAGAGGATTTTTTGAAAAAAATTAAATTTTGTGCTGTAATTGAAAAATATTTCAATTCAATTATATTTCAATGAAAAGAGATGAACAATATAAACTCCTACTTAATTCAGGACTAGTGTAGAAGCGGACATTCTAGAATTTTTCTTCATTTTCCAGTAAAACATGCGTCATCTCTCTAAAGTGAACACCTCACTATAGTGAACGTTTTTGAAAAGTCCCGATGGTGTTCACAATAGAGAGGTTTTATTATAGAGAAAGCATATCACCGGAACAAACAAACTAAAGTTGGTTTTGAGTTGCTGGAAAGTGCCTTTTCGTATTCAGCACACTTGATAACTCCGAAGAGTTTCTATTTTTGGCGAGGTGTACTTCTGAAAGTTTAGGAAAATTTTTGAAACAAAATGGTGCAAAAAAATTTTCATGGGAAATAATATGAGTTTGAAAAATTTTCCTAAACTTTCAGAAGTACCTCTCGCCATAAATAGAAAGTCTTCTGAGTTATCGAATGTGCTGAATACGAAAAAGCACTTTCCAACAGCTCAAAACCAATTTTAGTTTTTTCTCAGGTGATATGTCTAAAATGAATTAGCAAATACTTGTGCTCTTTCTCTGCAATATTTCTTCTATCGAAAAGACATGTGTCTTCTATTTCCATTTTTTGTCGCTAGGTAACATTCCATTTATCATCTTTATTCAGTTCCTATCACTTTTCTTATGATTTACTTAACAATAGATCAACTTGTTAAACTTCGAGCCTTGATCTGCTGTCTATTAGAAAACGGTAACAAAACATGATATCATGTTTATGCATTAGCCATTTATCTCATTTTTAATCCTCCGCCTACGATGATCCTTTGTTAGTGATTTTTCTTCTGAAGTTTCAACATGTCGGCAACTCTCTTATCCGATGTTTAGACGAAAATTTTCTGTTTGTTTACCTTTGATTTTGCTAGAAAAAGGATGTACTTTGTGTTTTCCTCTCGTGTTACATCAGAATAAAGTCGCATGGTTCTTTTTCTCGTTTTTCGGTAGTTAATGTTATAGATTTCGAAAGTCAGTAATTACGTAAATGATCTATAGGTGATACTTTACAAATTATTCTAGTAATTCTCTTTATCCTACCATTTGCTATATCCTACTATTTTTTTTGAGAATACTTTCTATGCTACTTGCTACTTGTTTTAGATCTTACTAAACAAACTCGATTGCTTTACACACATATATCTCTTTCTCTCTTTCTAATATCAATCATCAACATTTAGACAATTATTCCTAGTTGGAATAAACAAATTTTGTTGTGGTTATAACAGATTGTATCGGTATTTTTAATCTCGCATGATCGCTGTACTCTTAGAACCAAAATGTCCGTTCCTGCAGGCAAATCGTCTGATAAAAACAAACGCTTTCCAGGTTACAAAGCAAATGATTTTGTGAATAAAAATAGGCAGAACGATAACTCGAAAGTCGCGGGTACGTATAAATTATTGAAGCATTTAATATGATGGAATGTTTCTCTGTGTTCTTCATGTAGTTCGTCCGCAATCTGGGTATCAAAGTTTGGGTAAAATAACTACTCAACGAATTCCACCTCCCGCCCATTTACCAAGTTTACGTAGTGAACATGGATCAGGATTTGATGCGAATATACCCATTGTACCATCAGGTAGCCATGGATGGACAAATCAAAGTGGAGGTCTACCATCATCACCGAATACTACAGCAACAAATCAAAATGTACCATCTACAACAACGACAACTTCGGCCAATATCCAAATTCAGAATCGTCCGACGACACCAGCAAAGTCGCAATCAACACCGCAAGATTCATCGACTGCCGCCGGTGCAGCATCGACGACAGTTGCGACAAGTAAAACGGCTACATGGAGTACAATAACTGCCGGTATGGCATGAAAAAGAAGTTTGACGCTTATCTTGACCAAAATTTAACATTCACGTTGAATCATTTTTTGATGAGAGTTTCTATGACAGTTTTTCTCTATATATGCTTCCCTGAGAGATCTAAAATGTATTGTACGTTTTTAGGAAATCTAATATTTTCCTGTTTTCTATTATAAAGGTACTGGCCATCAGATTGAGCCACCAAATATACCAAATTTGCGTGACTTTCCACATTTGTCAACGCTTGATGGAAAAAGCATGACAAACAGTACAATGAGTGGAAATAACGTTTTGAATAAGAAACCACAAAATGATCAATCTTCATCACCGTCATCGAATAATAACGTACTCACGTCGTTGACGAATTCAAATACAACTGGGCCTAGTTTAAGACCAGCGAATATAGCATCATGGCGTGAAGGCGGTGGACGTGCACAGCCATTACAAATCGACCAAAAAGATACATCAACAAATGATTTATTATCACGTTCACAACAAGAATATGCCGCAAATAATTTAAATATACAGAATTCATCATCTTTAACAACACAGAACAATCAACTTGTGGGAAATGGACCAGCAGGTTTATTGCCACCACAGATGTCGCCCAGCGCACAGTTTTTGCGAATGTATCCACCTCAACATCCTCAAATGGTAATTAAATTTTGTATTGAAAATTTATAATCGAAGTGTACAGTACTATAAGTTTTTCGAAACTATACTCAATTCTTTAGTAAAGAAAAGTGCGAAAGGTTGTAGTTGAATTTTGGCAAACATTTAAAAGAGCACATGACGTCTGCAATGCTATCAAAAGAAAGAACACACTTTGTATTTAGTGTCTCTTACTGTTTGACTTTCTTTTAGTGGGGTTATCCACCGTATGGTTCCTATGGTCTACCATTTGGTGGTCCTTCTCAGATGTCAGTGCCAATGCATCGTCAACCCTTCGGTGTATCTGCTACACAAATGCATCAGTATCAAAGCCATCATCAGCAACAACAACAACAACAACAGACACAAAGACGTGATCAGCAACAAATTGACACTAGTGATTACAAAAGCCCGAATATTTTACACCAAAAAGAACTTGATGCTTTGACTAAACTAACTGACAATGATACGTGGGCCAATGCACCACAATCCGTTGATTATGGTGAAAAATTACAATTTAGTGACAGTGAAGATAACGGGGAAACAACAAGTAAATCGGAACAACAAACAAGACAACGGACAAATATTCAGCAACAACAAGCACCCTATTACACGCAACGACAAAATTCAGATTCTGGTTATTCTCAATCGAGATATAACAATAATCGTCAATCAAATCA